ATATATATATATATATATATATATATATATATATATATATATATATATATATATATATATATATATATATATATATATATATATATATATATATATATATATATATATATATATAGCTTGAGCCCCTTCTAACTTAATTTAAATTTTATATGGCTTTTGATGCTTTTGCAAACCATCATTATTTGACATAAGTGTAATTATATATATATATATTATATATATCGGAAAACTGAATAAGCGCGAATTTTATAAGTGCGAACTGGCATAAGAGCAAAGCGTTACAAAAACTGGCATAAGTGCGCAGAATAAAATCGCAAATTTTAACTTAAGCGCATAACGGGTGGTTACTAAAAATCCGGACAAACTTTCAAGTGCAATTACTCCCAAAGTTTTTATGGTATAGATTAAATAAAACTATCATTAAAAAGAGTTTTTAGTTATTTATTTATTTTAATTAAGTTTGTCTTCAACCAGTCTGTTTCTTCGGATTCGGCCAACTCTAACACGAGTTGACCCAAAAAGTGAAAATACAAGGTTAAGGTCAATTTTTTTCACGCAAACCTTTATTCTGGTTCGTAGTTGTTTCACGTCTTTTGCTTGCCAGTTTCTCTCATACACTTTGCCTTTCAAAATAGCCCAAAAGTCTTCGATTGGGCGACACTCCGGTACGGCTGGCGGATTGTCAACTTTTTTGATAAAATTGATGTTATGAGTCTCGTAGCAGCTGGTCACGGTTTTGGCATAATGCGATGAAGCCAGGTCCGGCCAAAATATGTAATTACCATCGGCATGATAAGCGTTGATGAACGGCACTAATCTTTTCCTAATACAATTCAATTCATAGATGGCTTTATTGACTGCAAGGCCGCTGGGTATAAAAAATGGTTTTGAAACACCTTTGTCAGAAGCGGCCAGCCAGACAAGCACCTTGGGTTCGAACTTGCGCTTTTTGCGATATTTAACACTTGGTGGAGTCTTATCTCTGTTGCTAGAGTAGTAGGTGCTGTTTCCATTAATTGTTGAGTGTGACAGCGTGAAGTAAGACTCATCGTCAAGGATGACCGATTTTCCTTTAAAAACGCGATAAAGACGATCAATGCCAGTTTTGATTCGCTCATTCTGGTTCTCTTGTCGATGAGGTATACCCTGTTTTGTATAACTTTTGATGTCAGTGTACTTGGCAAGAGCTTTAATGGTATGTGAATGACTGCATCCAAATTTTCAACCAGCTTGCCTCATCGAAACTCGGTCACTGTGATCAAATATGGCTTTCAGGCGCTTGATCCTCTTAGGGGTCATGATTTTGGCCACACGACCACTTCCTTGCACTCTTTTGTGCCCAGAATCATTCTCAACACGTTTGATTATATCATAGATAGTGCTTCTTGGGATTTTTTCAGCATTGAAGTGAGCTACTGTGAACTTTTTACCTTGCAATTTATTATTCAAATAGACCTCGTAAATCCGTTTTCTTACCTCTTCTTGCTTGGTCATCATTATTTTTTAAATTATTATTAATTATCTAAAAAAAAAAAAATTAACTTATAGAGAATTAAATAAGCTATAAAATGGATATAAACATGAATAAAAAAGATTTAGCTTGTGGCATTTAAAATTCAGTTAAAGTTTGTCCGGATTTTTAGTAACCACCCGTTATAGACATTTCGCACTTATACCAGTTTGCACTGATGCCAATGTTAACAAATTCTTTTGGCGCACTTATGCCAGTTCACATTTATTCGCACTTATGTTAGTTTTTGCCTCTGTTTTACACTTATGCCAGTTCGCATTTATGTATTTTGCGAGTAATCAGTCGTCCAATGTATATCTATATATATTTCTATATATATATATATATATATCTATATATATTTCTATATATATATATATATCTATATATATATATATATACATACATATATATATATATATATATATATATATATATATATATATATATATATATATATATATATATATATACATATATATATATATATATACATATATATATATATTTATATATATATATATATTTATATATATATATTTATATATATATATATTTATATATATATATATATATATATATATATATATATATATATATATATATATATATATATATATATATATATATATATATATATATATATATATATATATATATATATATATATATATATACATACATATATATATATATATATATATATATATATATATATATATATATATATATATATATATATATATATATATATAAATATATATATATATGTATGTATATATATATATATATATATATATATATATATATATATATATATATATATATATATATATATATATAAATTTTAAATTTGTTGCTGAAACTAATGCCTCTTATTATAAACCAAATATAATATGTTTCTTTTCTTTTTTTTTTTTTTTTTTGCTTTTATTTAAGGCTTCAAAAACTTTAGCGTAGTATTTATATATAGCTTTATTCAAATTAGTTTATCACTTTAAATAATTAATATAAAATTTTTAAATTATTAAAATGTAATAATTTAATAATTGTAAACTTTTCAGAAAAGTCATTAAGTAGCTGGATAACAATATTTAGAGTTTGATAGCAATATTTAGTGTTGGATAGCAATATTTTGTGTTGGATAGCAATAGACCAAGTATTATTATAGTAATAGCTAGAATCATGCTGAAGAGAGAATCACAGCACAGGATAGCAACATCACCAAAAGACCTGCCAAGAAGAAATTTTTTTGATGGCTTTTGAGTATCACCTAATTAACAAATTTGAGAAATTAGTTAATTAGGTGATACTCAATAGCCATAAAAAGCGGGTACAATGTTCTTCAAGATACTGATTTCAGTGTCAAGCAACCGACATTATTTAAGGCAAATCATGTTATATGTGGGAGACAAGAGTAACAACTCATGTGTAGAATTTTATTCAACACGACAATTAAAGCAACAAATTTAAACTGCCATTCTTTAAAAAATAGTGTACAATCGCACTTTTGGGTCATTTGTTACCTTTATATAGCTTGACAGCATCTCCTGTAGAAACAATAACTTTAAAGGAAGAGTAATATTTGCTTTTAACAGTTTTTAAACACGTGGCTATAGTTTGCAGTGTTGGAAAACTCAGCTACTTCTTAGAGTCAGCCGTGATAAAACATAAGAAAAATATAGATGTGGCTTTAGAGCAATCATAAGAATAAAGTAGTTTCAATGAACACAAATTGATAGGAATTTTTCCAAAGCCAATTTGCAAAATTTTCTCTTTTTCTTCTGAGTAACAATTTTGAAATCTTTAATGCCCTATTTTGGTCGAGAAGCCACATTAGGTAGAAGGGGACCAGATGAGTAAAGAACATTAACTGAACCATTGAGTAAAGAATATAAACTGAACTAACTGAGTAAAGAACATTAACTGAACCATGAGTAAAGAACATTAACTGAACACCTAGAATTAGCAGATAAGTGAAGGTAACAGAATCCTTAGATACAGAGATTAATTTAACTTTGTTAACTAAATGTTGGAGAGTTAACTTAAGTCTAAGAGTGAGGATCAGGAGAGATTGATTTTACATGTTGGAAGGAGTGGTCGTTAAGAGGAAGCTGAGTCTGTGTATCATAAACAGAAAGTTAAGTCTGTTTGTATTTTTCACTATTAAGTGTATAATGTTCTTTAAAATCTATGAAGAAATTATGCAGTTTTTCATTTATTGACACCACGAATTGGTTTGAGAAATATTTCAGCTCAATAGCTATTTTATTAATATTTATTGGATTACTTGTTGCATAAAGATTAAGAATGACAGAATTAAGAACATATATCGATAGCATCACGGGGTGAAGTAATGTCAATCATCAGTCTGCAGATATCTTTGACATTTTTTGTTTTGTTTTTTCAATTACTCTGATTTTTGAATAACATGCTAAAATCTGATATTTTATATGCATTTGAATTTACTTTAATTAGCATGTATAATATGGTATCAGATAAAACGCGAACCGCAAACTGCGAACCAGTAAAATGCGAACCTTTTTGCGAGTAATCGTCCTATTGGTTGTTAATGATATGTTTTATTTCCTTTAAATAGTTCATTTAACCATACTCATAAAAAATATATTCTTAAGACTATGATTTAACGGTATAATTTAAGGACTTTAAAGCGAAAAAAATATTTAAAAATAAATAAAAGGAAATTAAGTGAAACTAGACAAATACAACAAAATATTTTTTTTTTTTTTAAATTGTTTGATAGACTGCCTGCCCAAACCAACCCTCAGTCGATTTAGCAGCACTCCGTTGCGAGTCAGGCTATAAGATAGTCGATGTAGCAGCACTCCGTTACGAGTCAGGCTATAAGATAGTCGATGTAGCAACACTCTGCGCATGTTTTACAGTTAAAAAATAAAAATTTTATTTTAAATAAAGCTTTAAAATAGCTAATTACGAATTTGATAGATTTTTTATTATTATTTTTATCATAACAATAATGGTCTTTAAAATATTATGTTTTGGTTCGCAAAAAAGTTCGCATTTTACCGACAACCGTATAATATCAATATTTATATATTTTCTAGCTTGACTTTAATTAAAAAAAAAAAGCTATCATTTCACGTTGCTCGTTGTTTTTATACCGAAGTCTAGTTCATAGCAGTCATTGAAGTGATTGTGTTAAATTTGTATTAAATACTATGTTTTAAATAAATAAATTTGAATAAAAATGAGCGAGAACGTCCAAGCTAAAACTATTGACTTGGAATGGTTAATAAAAACAGACAAGCACTAGAAAGTTTAAAATTGTTTCTATTTATACAATTTTTATTTAGATAGCATGATATAATATTATTTATATAATATAATATCATTTATATTTTTATTTTTAAATAATTTATTTAGAAAATGACATCTTGATCGGTTAAAACTTAGAAGTTCACCTTAACGTCAACGTTCATTTGTCGAAGTCGTAGTTCTAAAAATCAAATAACATTAGCTATCTTTAATGTCTGACTAAAAAAACCCTGATAAATACATTAATTTCTAAAAACTATAAAAAATATTTTTTACAATACAACTGTAAAAACATTGAAAATTCACTAGATATTAGACAATGATCTAATGTTACAAAATTTATAACTCGCCAACGTAAAGTTATTTCAAGCATGAACTCGTTATAACAAAGGTCAAAGAAGCAAAATGAATTTCTGAATCTTTAAAATGTTAGCATGTTTTATTGATAAGTTTACTTTTTTGTGCTCTATCGATTTAAAGTGTCTTCGCTTTGATTCGCAAAATATACAACAAAATTTAATACTAATTACACCATGCCAAGAGCCCTCTTTGTTAATTCATATACCACATAGCTAACGCTTACTGCAGGAGCTACTTTTAAAAAATTAGGAAAAATGCCACGATATAAACCTGCAACACCATTTTCTGAAATGATCAATCGAAACATGTCCATCGTACCTTTTGCGCGATGACCTTCAAAATGTGGATCATTAGCTAAAACAAAAAACGTTTTTACTATACATTAGAGTGAGATAAATTTTGACAATTTCTTTTTTCTTCGTCTTACAACGATAGTAAAATTAAAAAAATACTACTTACAACAACAGTAATATTAAAAAATATTGCTTTATTTCTAAGCTTAGAGAGATATTTGATCACTTTATTTGAAAATATTGTATTTACTTTTTTTATTATTGATACTGAGTTATGTAATTCTATGGCTGTTGGTAAACTCTAAAATAATCGAAACATCTTACTTTTTGACTTTACAACTGTAAAGTCAAAAAGTAAGATGTTTAAAACTTTTTTTCTCATTTTAGAGACAGCGAGCTAAGCTGCAAACCTCTGTACTTTGAGAAATGATTTTAAAAGTTAGACATCAAGTCAGATGTATACTTTTTAAATCATAAACTTAGAAAACAGGATTATAGAAAACCACTGATAAAATCCTCTTGACGATTTTACGTCCAAAGTGGCTCTAATCGCTGTCTCAACTTTATACTTCTGTCTTGACAAAAAGTTTTCTCTTTTCAATCGATTAAACAGGCAGCCAACTTTGAATCTGATCTCACTTCTTTAACAGATTGGGGCTGGCAGTGGCTCGTGAATTTCAACTCTAACAAAACTCAATTATTTACTGCAAACAACTATCGAAATACTGTCAACATTCCTATAATGATGAATGGCAACCCTTACACTTCTTTCTGTCTTTTTGGATTATTGTTAACTTCGATTGCTACATTAACATCTGCTAAGGTTGCTTCTCTTTATCGTGCTCATCATTTTCTTACTCCTGATTTTATTCTCTACCACTACAAATTTCTTGTTTACCCCTGTATGGAATACTTTTGTCATATTTGGGCTGGTTCTTCTAATGATGCTCTTTCTCTTCTAGGCAAGTTCCAAAAACGCATATCTGCCAAACTTGAGCCTCACTCCCACCGTCGTAAGATTGCGCCTCTCTCTTTTTTCTACAAAAAATCATCATCATTATCTCATCATCATTGATTGGTTTCTATGAGAGATTACTAATCAAGGATAATTCAAAAAGGATTAAAAGAGGACTCGGAAATGCCATTCATCATATTCACTCATCAATATGTCAAAAATTTTACAATAATTATTAACAGTAAACAACTGAGTTTTGGTTTAAATTTTGTCAGCAACTGAAAGCCCCAAGCTTTCACAGAAGAGTGATCACATATAAAATTGGCTACCTGCTCTAAGTAATCACAGAGTGATAATTTTTTGTCAAGACTGGGGTATATAGCTGTGTAGTCAGCAAACAGAGTCACTTTAGAGGTTAGATTATTAGGTAGATCAGGAACCTTGTGGTACCCCAGAAGTTACTGGAAATGAAGGAGAGTGTTAAAATGAATAACTTTTTAAAACTTTCTAAGATACATCATATCAAGAGAGAGCTTATGAAGAAGACCAGTAGGCAAAAAAATTGAAAGCCTTAAATATTTCAAAAGCAACAGCCGTTGCCTTAATCATCTTATCTAATGTACAATCTTTTTTTTACAACAGTTAGTTTATTACAAAATATGCTCTTAATGCTTTTATCTAATTAAATAACAGTCAGTTTATTACAAAAACAAAAAACAGTCAGCAGTAGAACAAGATGATTAAAATTCTTTGTCATGTCAGAGTTGTTAGACTCAATGATGATATATTAAAAGTTTGTTCCTTAAAGACCCAACGACTTTGCTATTAATAATAAACTAATTTAGCAATAGTTAGAGGGGTGATAATAGAGGGGTGAAAAAAGATTGAAACAGCTTTTTTTATTTGATTCTTCTTTACTTAGTTGAACTTTTTTTTTTAATTTTAAAATTTTGAATTAAATCTTTTTTTCTTCAATTTTCCTATGTGTCAAGACTGAGTATTTTTAGTTTCATATAGTAAATGTTTAATTTCAGTAACAAGATTGTTAGCTCTTCTATGAAATTTTTTTGATGAACCTGATGTTTTGTTTTTTTGAAGTATGGGTTTTGTACTGGTGCGCAGTATTCAAGCTGTGGTCTAATGCATGTTGTATAAAGATGGACGAAGGATTCTATATTCCAGTATTTATAAAGGTATTTAAAAACTTTTTAGCGTAGCAAGAAGAGAGTAAGCCTTGCTTGTTAACATTTTGATGTTTAACCATTTGAGATTATCGCTGAAGTTAATTATAACGTTTTGTTCATATTTCATCAAGTGTGATTCTTTCTCTTTTGGAGTTTTTCATCATGAATATTTTGCTGTTATAATATTTTTGCTACGTATTATTTCATTTAAATTATATTTTTTCCTTTAAAAAAAAAGCTTATTTTTATTCACTTGCTGGTTGAATCTTCCTTAATTTTTACCAGGCACCACTATGGTGACATAATTTGTGACACACAGTATGTCTTTGTGTTAAAACCACATCAAATTGAAAAGTTGAAAAGTTTGCTAGTTGAGTTTGCGTTGACAACATTTGCAGGTAGCACATTCAATTCTTAACAATTTGATTGTAAAGAAATTGTCCCTTTTCTAGCAAGTTTTTACAACCTGCTGAGTTTACCGTTATTTATGTCCATGCAGACTATATTCTGAGAGCAATTGCTGAAATAGGTCGCCCCTTCTTTTTCGCTCTTCTAGTGTGATAAGAATGACTAGTCTATCCTTGCTGTTGAATGCATCCTAGTGTTTTAATATACCTTTTTTAGGTGTGCAGACCAAATTAAACAGACTTGAATGACATACTCAGAAGGAGAGGTCTAACGTGTGTTCTTTAGAGTACCCTCCATAACATTAGCCCTCTATTACAAAAAGATTTCTTGGTTCGATCAAGTACTTAGTTTGCTCTAGTTGCTGCAGCTCCTAATTGATGCTTGACCGTGATGTCACTAGATGTTAGGACCTTTAATCACACTCTATAGTTCTTGTTCCAAGTTCTTTTCAATCGCTGTCCATGTTAAGCAATGAGCAATTTGAGCAAGCTGACTTTTTAAGCAAGCATGACTTTGTCTCTGTTAAGGTTAAAAACATAAGTCACTTTGCTAAGGTTAAAATCATAACACCATTTGACTACATGATTTATGTCTTGTTGGAGTTTTATTACATCATCTTCTGTTTTGATTTTTGTCATCATCAAGTAAAAAGGTGCTTACTTTTTAAAGTTTTTTTAATATAAAAAAAATATATACACTATATAATTGTTGTATACAAACTATTACAGTAAATATGACAGAATATTAAAAATGTCATTTTTAACCCTTACTTTTCAGTATTAATTCTTCAAAAGTTGAAAATTAGTTCAAAAGTTCAAACATTAACAAAGTGAAAACATTTTGCAGTATTAAACTTATTTCATTGAAAAATGAAATAAGTTTCAGCACATACATTACTTTAGTACAATTGACTAAGGGTTAAAGCAGATTTTTTTTATATATGAAAGACATTTATTATGGCTAAAAAAACGTTTTGCTTTTTCATCTTCTTATAAATGTATAAATATTGGTTTCAGACCTAAATATGCAGTAATTACTGCAGCAAGTTTAAGTGTGTATGATAACAAATATAGAATTAAAACACACTTTATTCCTCAAAATTATTTCAAATAAGAATAACAAATATATACACTATATAATCCACTATAAAATCCACTACAAAATAACATATACATATACACTACAAAACAACATATACACTACAAAACAACATATACATATACACTACAAAACAACATATACATATACTCTGCAAAACAACATATACATATACACTACAAAACAACATATACATATACACTACAAAACAACATATACATATACACTGCAAAACAACATATACATATACACTACAAAACAACATACATATACACTACAAAATATACATATAGATATACACTATAAAAATATACATATACACTACAAAATACACTATAATACACTATAAAAATATATACACTATATAATTTGAAATAATTTTGAGGAATAAAGTGTGTTATAAAATATATTCCTTATCATACAGACTTAAACTTGCTGCAGTAAACACTGCATATTTAGGTCTGCACCCAATACTTATACATTTATAAAATATACATTTTATAAAGATATAAAACACAAAAAAAATTGTTCACTTACACTGAGCTTGTAACTTTGTACGCACAAGTGACAATGGATAACTTGCACACATGCCACATGTGCACGAAATAGCTCCACAGAGTAGCATAACACCAACACCTGGATTATTTTCATTTTTGTGTTTGTTGGACCAGTTCGACTTTAAGGTCTTAAATAATTAAAGGTGATGGTCTTAAATAATTAAAGATGATTAAATAAATTGTTGTAAGGTCTTAAATAATTAAAGATGAATAATTAAATAGTCATAACTATGTTATTAATTTATTGTTTTCATATAAGATTATTTGATAATAAAAAAAGATTATAAAAGATTTCATAAGAGGATGCTGCAAGTAGAATCCTGTTAAGTGCACTGGTTTCAGAGACATGTTACTTAAAGTGGAGTGGATTCTTAACACGGGAGTCCTTTTAAATTTATACATTCAACACTCGGAATTAAGAAAATTGAGGTCGGCAATAATTTACCGACCTCAATCTTTTAAAGATCAGCATCAGGTAAAACATCGAAACGAGGTTGACAAAACTGAATTTGTTTTGCCGACCGCAAAAACATTTAGGTCGGCAGTTAGGTCAGCATTGCCGAATGCCAACCCTAATTCCGAAGGTTGTACATTAAACACATTAAATTAAAAAAAGTTTAAAACTTTTAAAAAGATTTAAAAAATAGTTTAAAATTTTAATTGGTCATTTTATATTAAATGGACTAAAATTTCAGGGTTTTAATAATGACTGCCTTAGATTTTTCTGAAACTTGGTGGTTCAGTTTATATCATTTAGAAAAGAAATTCTTAAAAATTTCAGCTAAAAACTTTTTTGTTTGGACTTTAGTAAAACATTTTCATTGGATATTTTAATGCCAAATTTCATATATAAAGACATCTATCAAAACTAAGGGTGTACCAGATTGGTAATTTTGAATTTCGGCCAGAACCGGCTTGGCCTGAATTGTTAAAAAAATTCCAGCCGGAACAAGATTTATATTTATCTAATTTTTTACCTTTAAGATTGAAAGTGATAGCCTGTACCTTGGATCTTGGCTACAATATATATTTATAACCTAATGTATATATAATCTATTTCATTAATTTGATTCTTGTTTCTTTTAAATCTAATATGTCATTTTTATTTATTTCTTAAAATTTTATTAGTTGAAAGTTTTAACAAGCATAATATTTATATTTAAAATTAAAAACTTCAAGTCACAAATTCCGACCGGAATGGAATTCCAGTACAAATATTATCCCTATACAAAACCTAAAAAATAATTAATAAAGTTAATTTTTGAGGAATAAATATACAAAACTAGCTGTTGTAGAAGTGACATGTATTGTTGTTATTGGTTTCTACCACGTTCCTATGGTATCTAGAAGTGACATGTATTTTTGCAGTTTCTATATATGGTAGACTTAATAAAATTTATTTATTAATGTAATTTAAAGCCATTTCAGTAAAAAAAAAAGTTTATGGGAAACTTGCAAAACCAGAACAAATGAAACTCTTCTGATATTTAAAGCAGTTAATGGTTGTGGTTAAGAACAATGATGATAAATGGTTGTGGTTAAGAACAATGATGATAAATGGTTGTGGTTAAGAACAATGATGATAAATGATAATAGTTCCTGCAATTGTTGAACAACTTGTTCAACACTTTTTACTTGTGTAAAATTCCACTAATTATAAATTGGTACAGTGTAACAAAATTTCATCAATTGAAATGTATAAAAAATGTTTAAAAAATACATTTTCTTGGGTATTTTTGATAGAATCTGTTTGTAATAGTAAACTAGCCCTTCTAATATTTTTTGTAGAAACAATGTGTAATCACTTTCTATTTTGACAGAACCTCTAACATCATAGAACTCTTTCCATGTGATAAAAAAAAAAGAACCATACCTCATGACCGTCCCTCATGACTAAGGCTGTTGAAGAGTACCCAGGCTTCCGGTTACCCACTTTATTTATAAACTTAAAACAGAAATTTATAACTCATTTAATTTATCAAGTTCAAGATTATTAATCGTAATACAACAGTTTATAAATGTAAACATGGTATGTGAATATATAAAATTAATATTGAAAATTAAAAAAGAAGATCTTGAAAATCTTGTGAAAACTTTCAATAGATTCTTTTTTTCCCCATCAGAATTTCTGAAAACATTGAACACTTGAGCTTCTGATTTAGAAACCCCTTTTTATTTCTCACACTATTTACAATGTTTTCCTTTACATAAATCAGAACTTTTCCACCTCATTTATTGGTTTGTCTCTTAAAAAAACTTTTTAAAAAGCTGGTAAATGAAAATATAATTATTTTGAAGCTTGTTCAAAAATATCTGTTTCAGTTAAGCAAATTATATTTCAAATGTTTTCAGTTTTAAAAAGACGTACATTTTATTTGAATAACAAAACATTTTATCTAAACAACTTTAATATTATAAAAAATTAGCGCTCACCTATTAGAAACAAATTTTTTGTAAAAGCTAATTGTTAATAATTAGCTAATTTCTCTATACTTTACTCTATTGCAAACTAAATAATTTCAATGAAAATATATTTAAAATTCAGATATAAAATGAAAAAAGAACAAATCCAAATAAATGATTTAATTGAATCAAAATTTTATGACTGTTTATAAGTGCAACTTTTATTAAAAAAATGCTTTTTAACGGGTACCTATCTATCTGCTTGTTCATTTTACTTTAATATTTATTTTCTTTAATTAAAAGTCTTTTAATTGAAAATGATTTTGAAAATCAAAAATTTAAATTTAGTTTTGAAGGAATGTAAAATACTTAGTAAAATGTAGAATGTAAAATTTAATTTCAAAGGAATGTAAAATAGTTTTGCAAAATTTATTATAGAAAATTTTTTTTTCTCATTGTCTGCTAACTAAATCATAATGAAAAACAAGTTGAAAAACAATTTCAAATGTCAAATCATGCTTCCTTCCAGGTCCTAAAAAAAGTTGCTACTTTATAAGTTTGCTTTAGAAAAAAGCCTAGTGTAAATTGAAGCCTATTTATTTCATCAGACAACAATGGATTTTGAGAAGGAAACTGAACTTTTGATAGATTTTGAAATTTGATATTGTAACAGTTAAATTTTTCCCTCTAGTTGCTAGTAGTAGTAAAAAAATATTTGAATAATGTGCTTTTGTAGTTAATAAATGACATCAATACAAAAACGTTCTTTCAAATAACTTAAACTTGAGTTATAAACGTTATATTTGGGTTTTCTTTTTTGCTTTTAACCTTCATTAACCATATATTATAACCTTTTTAAACGTATAATAACCAAATAAAAATAAAACGATAAATAAGTAAACGCTTTGAAAATCTAAATTTTATTTGTTTTATTTTAAAAATAAAACTAATATTAGTGCTGTAAATATAAGATATGCAAATTAAAAAAATATACTGATATTTGTTAAAAACAAGTTCTGCTAATAAATTTTTAAAATTTAAAATCTTATAACTTTTTTTTTTTTTTTTTATTTCACAGTAAACAAAAACTAAATATTTTAATAGAAATAAAAATGAAACAATGTAGGAAAGCGGTATTCTTCATTTAATTACAATTTTTATTTTGAAAAGTCTCTAGTTTAACTAATGCACAAAACGTTTTTTGTTTTTTAAATGGAAAAACCTAATCTAATAGTGTAAATCATTTTAAAAACTCTGCAGTAAAGAACATTTATTAATCAAACCAGATATTTTTATAATGGAAAAAAACTATTGCATATTCATAGAGTTAATGTTAACCTCTCAACCGGAAGTTGAGAAGAAAAGCAAAGCAACAAATGTTTTTGATTAATATCTCAATAAATAAATTGTTTTGGTAATTTTAATGAACTCAAAACTTATTCTCTAATGTTTATTTATAAAATAAACATAATTTGTTTTAGCACTTGGGAATCCCTTTAATTAATTTATCCTCTTTATATGAGAAAAAAAAACAAAGGTATTAAAATGTATGTTGCGATTGTATTTTGGCAGGAAAAATAAGTTTTTAAAATAATAAATGTCATTGGCAATGTAATATGTCATTGATTATCAGCGAAGATATCTAGAAAATCATATTTTAATAACTAGAAACAAAATAATTTTATTTTTTAATTTCGAATTATTTTATGATTTTGATAAAAATAGTAAAATGGTAATAACCTTTTTGGACATTCTAGAATTTTGAAATTTTGTGAAAAAAACCCCCTCCCCCATATATACCTAAACTCTGTTACAAAAATTTTCTCTTGAACTTCCACATAAGCTTTTAAATAACCTAAAGATATTTAAAAGATATTTTTAAAATTATTTAATACTTACTTCATAAACACATAAGTCAATTCCAGCATATGGTATAACTCCTATCAAACCAGGCACTAAACCTTTGTAAAAACCTTTGATACCATTTTGTCGATATATCTGCCCAGCACAATCAAAAAAACCATTGTATTGACCGGTCTTAGAAATTGCTAATCGAGTTTTCATGACCTGCAAAACAAATTTAATTTCAATATGTATAAAGTAAAAAAAATAATAACTCAAAGTATAACTTAATCATAAAAGTTATTAGGACAATTAATAAATTTTTGATAACTGATTTTATAATATATTAACTATTATCGAAAATCCTATATAATATATCTTTTAAAAATGTTTTTAAAACCTCCAAAAATATTTGAAAAGGTCAGTTCAGGTCAGTTTGGAACTATTGTATCCCATGCTGTAGCCACTACTGAATATACAAAATCTTATGTTTTTGTCTGAAAAAATAAAGACAAGCTATTTCTACACCTTTTGAAAAAATAATTAGGAACATGAAAGTTGTCACTAAGAAGTCATAATATGTAATTGAAAAACAAAAAAACTATTTAAAAACCGTAATATGTAATTGAGAGATATGTAATTAAAAATACATATATTGTAATTGTGAATGCACAATGTAAGCCTATAGTTTTTTACAAAAGATCTCAAACATGAATTTAAATAAGTTAATAATATCAAATTCAGCATTTGTATGCACCAGTAATAATAAGGGAGGGCTCAATTTTACTGTCGGACATTGCCGCCCCTAGGACCATTCTTGAGCCTGCTAAAGGAGGGCAACAAATCATTGTTGATTTTTTCATTAAAAATGAACAATTGTTGGTTGCCCCAAAAAATCAGATCTTAAAAACAGTCCGCAGGGCAGCGATTTCCAACCGTTAAATTGAGCCCTGATAACGGAATTGAAAGATTGTTGTTAAATGTCAATACACAATGACCTTAAGGTCTGATATTAAACTAAATTTATTTCACAAAATTTATTTTCATCCACCTCTGGAACAAACAGATCTCTTTTGTCCAACTTGTCGGCATGAAATACATACAACCAAACAAGTTGAAAGAAAACATTAGGTTTTATCTTTATTAAATGACAGAAAAAAAGTTGTTGAATGTGTTGAGTAAAATGATGATTGGGTGCAAACTTTGAGTGTTAAATTTAAGACAGCATATAATTAGGTTCGCAACAGAAATTTAAATGACATCATAAAAGGTAGCTGAATAAAATGACATAAGATCAAATTCAAAGCAACATTAATATGGATTGAAATCATGTGACCATCAAGTAACATTGGTGGCAATCAATACAAAAATGTTAAGACAATTTAACAACAACTGGCAGAGTCTGGTTGTGCACGGTCGCGTGTCATTAAAGCAAAAAGTTTAAAAGCAAAAAGACAAAAAGTTGTTTAAGCAAATTTTTTTTTTATTCTTATTTTTTAACAATAAAGTCTGGCTTTTATCTTTGTTTTTAAAACATATTAAATTAACTTTTTATTAATAATATAAATTAATAATTTGTTATTAATTATATTTCATGAATTTTTTTTATTTTATTGATGATATTTTATTTGTTAAAAACCAGCCCATTTGGCCAGCTTGGCCAGAAATGGATCCAACCTTAAATTTCAAAGTAAATTAAGGCTACAAAATTAAAAATACAAAAACCTTTGTTGTTTTTATTTTTAATTTTGTAAAACTATTTTACGTTGTAAACCTTTTTTAATTAAAGCTCTT